GTTCACCTGGCTGTGTGCACAATCTCCCGGTGCCACTGTCTAGGGGAGGGCTCAGCTGCTTGTAGAGAGTGCTCTAGGGTTTCTCCTCGCGCTTAGAGACTGGTCACTGACTGAGTCTTTCTCAGGTCCTCTCCCCCACCAGCAGGCTGCAGGCTCCGCGAGAGCAGGACTCGTGTCTCTGTCACCTTAGCGCTCAGCAGAGTTCCCAGTCATTACTGCCTGTTCCTTTTTAAAGCCCTTTCAGCCCTTTAATATGGCATCGTGGAACTTTTCACTCAATATTTTCACCCTTTTTTGAAAGAATAAAAAAGCCATTAGAGCAGAATGTGATATATAAGGAACTCTGTTAGCACTTACATCTGTGAAGATTAAAAACATGAGACTAGCATCCCCTTTCATCTAAAAAGCGGAGAGAAGCTATAATCACCTTTTTGTAAATAACCACAAGAATTCATGGAGACTCCTTCCTGGGCCTACAGTAAACATGCTGATCTGTGTTAACGACGCCTGTTTGTTGAGCACCTATCACTCATACATAAGGCATTGTGCTAACATTTTGCATTTATTAGCTCATAAGGCAGATGTTATTCCATTTCCTAAGATACAAGGCATGTCGGAAGTTAACCAACTTGCTCTGGGTCAAAAGCAGGAAGTGGCTCTGAGGTTTCACACCCGCCTCTCCCACACCAGACGCCTTCTACTCGCTGGGCGGCATCTCTGGGCCCCGGAAGCCACACCTTTGACCTCTCTCCTGTTTGCTGGCAGGTACTGAGCGGTCGCCTTTCTCATTCTCGGCTGCCCTGGGAGTTCTCCTGGGCCACATCCTGGACTTGCTCGTCCCGGACTTCCCGTAACTTTCTCCTCGCGCTTAGAGACTGGTTATAGGTGGTTGCTCACTACCCATCAGTGTGTCCTCCTCAGTTCAAGGATTGTGTTCTTGATGGGAAATATAGGTGCAAATCAGGGTTTAAAAAATTCTACTTCCACTTTTTCACTCATCAACCCTATAACAAATCTGAACTGTGAGCCCTTTTGATTTCCTTTTCACCTTTTCTAACTAACCCAAAAGCCCGTTTAGTCATCTAATTAATATGCATTACAGAGAAAACTTGGTATAAGAAAAGCAACTTCATATATAGTTGGATTTGGTTTTTTCTATAATGGGTGGTAAAAATCACTATGAAGCATCCACCAAAAATCGTAAATATGTTAAATTTTGTTTAGCAATTGTAAGGTGGTTGGTATAATATTGTATGATTTCCTGTGTCAAAATTTGGGACCTGGGACTAGTAGAGGCAAAGATATGATCACAAGCGTCTGACATGAAAAAGAAGCTCAGCCATTCAAAAGTGAGCAAGGAAAGGAGGACCTCGCCCTGAGACTGCTGCAGGGAGAGGGGACGCCACACTTGTGGTTAGAACCATTCCTTGAGCCAGATGAGTGGGTAAAGTAGCCATAATTAACCCATAATTATAAATGTACCACTTAAAACTCAGCCAGATAAAAGCCGAGCAGTGAGACTATCAAGATATATTAGTGTTAATTAGGAATGACAGTACTTTTTTAAAATCTTGGCTATTTAATTTGACAAATAAGTCATTGTTTGGCTTATTTGAAAAATTAACTGGATTTATTATATCTTCTCTCACAAAAATACTGATTTGAAGGTTTGACATAGCATCAGTTTAAAGTTCTTGGACATTAGTCCTAATTCTAGATTCATCATCAAGAAACCGTGTGACTCTAAATAACTAACTTTCCAGGAAGGTGTCGGGATATGGAGAATTGTGACTGAGTTTCTGATAGCTCTTCTCTTTGCTCATGTATGCACATATTTTATCTGAAAATGTGTATGTGTGCTCGCTACATGATGTTTATGACGCCACATAAACTAATTTCATTCTCCCTAGAAGAAGGCAGCGATGACCACAAGCAGACGGTATTAGCCAGTAGCCATTAGGTTACGTTCAGAGTCATTCGGCCAGGACGTTGACGTAAGGGTTCAGGCCATGATCATCAGCTTTACTTTATAGAAATTCATTAGCCTGAAGTTCCCAGCTGTGAGCCCAGCACACTCAGGAACACCAGAGCTCCTTACGGGAACTATTTTTAGATTCTGTAAGGCCGCCGAGCTCGCGGGATTGACTCACTCCCAGCTCTACCCCTTACTGACCTCGAGCAATTAACTTGACTTTTGTGCCTCAGTTTCCTCATCTGCAAATTAGATAACGCCTCACCTGTGAGGCTTAACCACAGTCATTATCCACAAAATAGCCCAGTGCCTGCCATGTGAAAGCCCCCGTCATATCTGCAGGAGTCTGGAGGTTCTCCTGGCGGCTGTGCGCACAATGACAACATCAGGTTTTAATTGCACAAGCAATCACTATGGAGATGGCATTGGCAAAGCTGCAGCTAATTGAGGGGGAGAAGGGATTAATTTCAGCAAGACTTGAGTGAAGGAAACAAGGGGCAGCTGCAATTAACCCGGGCAAGAATTGGTGCAGCGTGAGCTCCATGGCACGGGGTACTGGGATTAAGAGAAATGGAAATGCTGAGGAGATACTAAATGCAATCCACAGACTTATGACTTGGGCCCGGGAGCGGAAGGAAGGACTCGCACACACTCCCAGGTTCCAGGCCTGAGCTGCGGTCTCTAAGGCAGGATGTACAAGGATGGGCCGAAACCCCCAGCAGCTGCCTCCATCCCGAGGAAAGGCGCGCGCTCGGCCCAGGAGGAGCCGAGTGCAGGTGTGGACGCAGCCGCAGCCAGGGAAGTAGATACGGGATCTGCTCATGGGCCTTTTTCAATAACCAGACAGTCCAAGCTCTCCTGCTCTTCCCAGACCAGACCACATCACCGCGCCGTTGTGAGCAATAAAGAGAAATCCTCCTGCACCTTGGAAGTTCATCGCCAAGTTTGCAGCTGATGGCGACTTTCAAAGGCAGGAACCGTTCTCTGAGGTCTGGGTGAGCACAGGGGCACGGGCCCCTGGGGCCGCATTCCCCATCACGTCGCAGAACTGCCACGGCTAAGCCCTTCCTGCCTGTGGCTCCCGGGGACTTCACTTCCCAGGGGAACTATCGTGGCTCTTCAGCTTGAAGACCCTGTAGGAAGAATCCCAGTTCTTTCTCTCTGGGGTCTGACAGAGCAAGCAAGCTGGAAGTAAACAGTCACTAAGGAGGAGCAAGGAGAAATTAACTTCCAGCCAAACGTATGAAGAATTCGTGTGTAAGAAAAAGACACCGGCCACATCACGACAAAAATTATACCTGAGGGCAGCAGCGCCACCCTGGTGTGGCTCCTGTGCACCCCGGCCTGGGTGAGGATGCAGGACCCACGTCGGCTTGGCTGTCCCCAACCCGCAAAACTGCACGTCACTGAGGCACATGTGTGTGTGTGGTGACTGAATGCTGCTTCAGGCAGGGAGGGCACCGAGCTGGCCATTAGAAGTGGGGCCGAAGCCCAGGCCCAGTGCGGTGACCTCCACACATCTTTGTAGAATGCAGATCATACCTAAGAATGCGTTTAATAAAACTGTGCTCTTAAACGTTATCTTTTTAAAGAGCCTTATAAAATAATCTTCCTGTCACTCAGAAATAACTTTTTTCTTTTTTTTCTTTTTTTGCTTTTGCTTCAGAATGCTCAACAGTCAACAATATGTTGCGGGGGGAAAATCTTGTTCCTAATCATAAAAATAGTCTCCCAGCTACTAAATCCTTCTACAGCTGTACCTGTTACTGGGTGGACTTGCTTGAAGTATCACAGTAACCCCAGTCATACTGTAAAATGTTACCCTCTTCTTACAGAAGGGGAAATTGAGGCTTCTAAAGGCTAGGCGATCTGGCCAAGGTCATGTGACCAGTCTCTCGTACCCTCAGGTCTTAAGTTGCTTCAACAGCTAGTTGTTTTCAGATCTAAGATTGGGATCCGGAAGGAACTCCATTGAGGTAGGGAAGACAAAAATCAAACTGTGACCATCTTTCAGTGTCTCCGCATCAGAGCTGGGCAAGCCCACCACCCAGGGAGGGGTTATCCACCTCTTGTCCTGTTCCCTACAGTTTGCATTCATCATCTAAACCAGGACACACTTGCTACACGCTAAGTCTTGTACATCTTTAAACATTGAGCAACAGCAGATTTCAAAAGACACTTAAGATGTATTGCAAAAATGTACAGCATTTATTCACATACAGACAAAAAGGCACAAATTCTACTAAATAGTTCAACAAAAAAATACAGCTGTCCTCAACTAGTTTTATAAATACTTTCAAAAAGGGGGTAGAAATAAATACAGGATTGGGCCATGTCATATAAAATAGTCATCTCTACATATACTTTGTTTAATTTCTGATTTGTAACTCTTCATGCACCTTTTTTTTTCTTTTCAATTTTAGCTGAATGGACACCAAGCTAGGCACATAGTGAAAAATCCTCTGTACAAGGTTACAAATGTAATGACAAGTTTGTCCATTTGAAAATAATTAAGATTTGTACACAACACATAGAACCCTTCATTGCGATTTTGTGTTTATAGCCTAACAAATGACATTCCAGGCAACTTTACAAAAGTTTAACTAGCCTACATTTTGACATAATACATTGATCATAATCAAAGATATTTCTTGGTCAGGGTGCACAAGGAAAGATAAAGCTAAAAAAAAAAAAAAGAAAAAGAAAGAAAGAAAGAAAGAAAGAAAGAAAGAAAGAAAGAAAGAAAGAAAGAAAGAAAGAAAGAAAAAAAGAAAGAAAGAAAGAAGAAAGAAAGAAAAGAGCAAATGGTAGGTCCCACACTAAGAAGTGTACATGGGGCGGTGGTAGGGGTTGCTGCTGCTGGTGGCCACACAGACATCCCAGCAGGACAGAGAACTGACCTACAAAGCTATCATTACACCGGAGACACCGTACTCTAGCCATTTGCCTCTCAAAGCAGAAATTAAAAGTGAGCTTTTTATATTTTGTGTGACTTGTTTTCCTTGGGCTATTTTTTATTTTTTTCATTTTATGTTTTTGTTTTTTGTTTTGTGTGTTTTTTTTTGGTTCAGCATAACTTGAAACATTTGAAAGCTTTTCAACCTAAATGTGGGGGGGAAACAGGTAAGGCATTATTTTTGCACAAAACTAGCATTCCTAATAGTGCAAATGAATCTGTGAACCTCTTAAAATGGTGAGAGGTCATACGCTTACTAGAATTTAGGTTTTCTTTCTATGGCTTGACAAATCCACATCCTCGAACTCTCACCAGAGCTGTCACTGTAGTCCAAAAGTTACCGGGTAGAGTCCACCTTCTGTGCTCAGCAAAAGGTTTCTGCTCCTCTGCAAAGTCTGCCTTTTCAATTAGGCTATGAGTGAAAGTACAACTTGGATTTGTAAGAAACTTCTATCTGCAGCAACAGCTTATCTGGACAACAGTCTTTTTCAAAAGGAGCCTTTCAGCTCAAAAATAGTCCATCTAAACCTGGGTCATCCTTTCCCCTCTCCTGAATCAGCTACTACAATGTATTCAAAAAGCTTAAGACTTGGTCTGAGAATGTCATACATACAATGGAGATGCAGCTGATCTACTATTTGATCATCTGACAAAACTTGCATAGCAAGATGGAATTCAATAAGCCTTGTTTGGTGTTGACAATCCTCTGGAAGACTTGAAAGTGAACCGCAGGACTCAAACCATTATTCATCAAGTATCAGAACGTCCCTGCCACATGGAAACAGATGGATAAATGAATCAGGAGTCTGAATACCGACACCAGCAAACTAAGGGGCGATTTAGGGGAAGCTGGGCTTGTTCCAAGTGCCCATAATTCTAAGTCTATTCGCTATTTAAACTTTCCTTCTCTGAAGATTGATGCACAACTACGCTGAATTCCAAAGAAAATGAACAGGACCTTAACACTACCCATTGTCTTAACACAGATGCACCGCAGTCAGTGCGAAAACAGAACATTGTACCCAAATTAATGCTAAATTCATTATTGCTGATAACTTACGAGTTATTGCCATTTGCAATTAGGAAGTCCAAGTTCGAATCAGAGCCTAGAACTGACTCCAGAAAAAACCTACTACACTTAAAACTCTTTCCTGTAGAAACTTGGTCAATGGTAAGAGGTTATCACAACTTATTGCCTTTCTATTGTTTCTAAAATATAGCCTATTTCACGCTTTTTTTTTTTCTTTTCTTTTCTTTTTTTTTCCTTTTTCTTTTTTTCTTTTCCTTTTTTCCTTGTTCTTAAGGAATCTGTTCCAGTTGGGGACCCTGGGAAGTATGAGTCACTGGAGTCTGAAAGTTCATCACTTGAACGTGAATGACTACTGTACTGTTGGAGGCCAGCGGACCAGTGATTGCCAGTGGCTAGGGAACCCCGCCCGGGCTGGCCCACAGACGGCAGTTAGGGAAGAGAGTGTCAAGAGGACTGGTCAATGGGCCTCAGCTGCCCTCTCCCACAGACAGAACTTCCCAGTGACCTCGCTCTGCACCAGGCCTCTCCATCCCGCTCCCTCCCAGGGTTGCAGGCCGAGGAGCCACATTCCCTCATATTCCAGCCCCCGAAGCTTCTCCAGGGGTGACCTTCAACACTTCTCCCATCTGGGACATTTGCACAGAAGTCCCCTCGAGCTCCTCGGAGCTGCTGCCTGCAGACTGCAATGCAACAAGAACATGGTTTCCAATCCGCCACCGTCCAGGAAATAAGTTACAGGCTAGCCAACGGTACGCGAGGGTGTCTAGAACCATATCTGACTCCGTGTAGTCGGGTGACCAAGAGTTTGTGCTTTGGGAAGAAAACAGAGCAATAAAAACTCAGGAGGCTTCCGTAGGCCTCTCCCTCTTTAAAAAATGCACTTCATTCATTCATTCTTAGCTTAGTGTTGAAGCTTCTAGTCTCCGCCGTGCCTCACGGTCGCAACCTACGTGTTTCCTCAACCAGTTGCAAATAGCACACCCTCCTCGCGGTTTATAAATGACTTGGGGGGGGGGGGGGGGGGACAAAACATCTGAACAGCGAGTCGGTGTGCGCGCGGCTCAGGGCCGGGCATCAGGAGGCCAGGATGCTCCTGCGGATGAAGTCTGTCCTGCGGCCCATGGCGCCGCCCGCGGCGGGGATGCACTTCTTCTCCGAGGCCTCGCCCTCCGAGTCGCTCATCTCGCCGTCGGGGGCGTAGCCGTCGCTCTCGGGGTCGGCCCTCGGCTTGCTCTTGGCCCTCTCCCTGGCGGGCCCGCGGCCCAGGCCCAGGCAGGGGCAGGCGGCCCCGGGGGCGGGCGCCTCCTGCGGCGGCCGCTCCCCCTTCTTTGGGATCCGGAAGCCCCCCCAGTTCTTCCCGGGGCTGGCGGGCGTGGTAGGCACTTTGGCTGCGGGCGGGGGCTGGCTGCCCCGCGCCAGGGCGCCGTTGCACTTGGGCGGCCCCTCTCTCCGGGCGCCGGAGGCGGCGGCGGCCCGGGGCGCGGGGTCCGGGTGCCGCGGGGGCGCGTCCGGGGCCCGGAGGGGCTTGTGTCGGAAAGGCCTGTCCCTCCCGTCCCCCTGGCCGGGGTCGCAGGGAAAGCGGGGGTCCCTCCTGCTCCCGGGGTCCGGCGCCAGCGCGCCGTTGCGCTGCGGGGCGGCCAGGAGCCGGGCGTCGGCGAAGGCCGCCTTGTCGAAGCCCAGCCAGCCCTGCGGGGCGCCCGCCGCCCGGTGCGGGGCCTGGCCCGCGGCTCGCGGGTGCGGCTTCTTCAGGGCGCGGCCCAGGGAGGTGCCCATCTGCTTCCGGAAGAAGGCCGAGTGCCACTTCAGGTCCTCGATCTGGGGCGCGTCGGGGCCCACGGAGGGGCTGTTGAACAGAAGCATGCTCTCCAGGGAGGCGGCGGAGCAGGAGGGCGAAGGCACACCTGCGGGGGGGAAAGCAGAGAGAAAGGTTACAGCAGGAGCAAGTCCGAGGAGGACAGGCCCGCGCAATGCAAACGTCCCGCAGACAACGCATGGCCGGGCTGCAGAACCGTCAGAGGAGAGGGGTCCGCCTGGGGAGCAGCCCTGGAGCTGCGGACAGCTAGCAGCTGCCTTTTCTGAAACAGCCAGAGCCACAGAGGAGCCCCTGAAGCAGCATCTTTCCAAGGAATGCATGTCCTTCCACACCACAGCTGAGCTGACAAGGACCCCAGGGGAGGGGAGGGGTGTGGCGGGCCTGCCTCCCAGCAGGGCTAAGGCGAGAGGGAGGGGGGGGGGGCGCCAGGGCTGTGATGCCAGGAATGTGAGGAGCTGTGAGGTGAGTAAGCGAAGGTGTTTAAGCGCCTCCCAGACACAGAGCAAATGTTTTTTTAAATGTTTACTATCAGATGTAAAACCCACTTGTGGGATTAAACTGAAAATGTAACCCAACAGGAGATAAGTGAAACTGGTCTTTTTCAAACATTTTTCATGCCAATCACAGTAAGCGCTAAATTTCACCTAACTCAGGAAAAGCCCACTTTTCCTTAAGTCTTACTGTCCTTTATCATCTGATGTGCCCTCTGACCTTTGCCGTTTCACTCGTTTTTGAAACTAGTGATGAACTAACTACTCAACTCCTCTCGCCACCCACGGAGCCCTGCCCCTGGGTCTGGGGAAGCTGGGTGAGCTCACAGGAAGGGCCTCAGAGCCCGTTCGGGCTTCTGTCCCCTGTGGGGTGAGAACCAGCAGGAAAGTGGGTTCCACCGGAGCCCCAGGCCTGAGCGCCCAAAGGAACCTACTGCTGAGCAGACACGGAGCAAGCGTGAACCGGAACAGAGCCAGGGACTCCAAACACAGACCGCCACCACCAGGGGGGGGGGGGGGGGGGGGCGCCATAATCCTCCCACTTCCTCAAACATCGAAGGCTAGGGTCCACCTCCACGCCACACTGGTGGCTGTTTCTCACCTCCCGAGGGGAAACAGAGCAAGGGGGTGGGGGGGGGGGGGGTTCTGACTCAGATTCTCTCTACTTGACCTGGAATCGCGTCTCTCCAGTCTCCGACGCATGACCTCTGCAGGCAGCCCCTCCACTGGGGACTCTCACCCAGCAGAACAGCCCTCCCCGTCCTCAGTCACTCACAGCCTGAGCCGTGGCCCCTGAATGACACGCGAATGCCATGGCGTCCGCGCTGCTCCACCTGGAATCACAGGCCCAGAGCAGGAGAGGGGCCGCAGAGACAGCGCCCGGCTGAGTCTAACACTGGGGAAGGAGCGACACAGGCCCCGGGTGTGCCCCGTCCTGGCCGCGGCTCCCACAGGGACCACAGGCTGCGCCCAGCTCTTCCCACCGGTGTGTGGGGGCCGGTGGGGTTCCTTGTCTGCAGGACTTGCGAGTGGAGGGATGCGTGACGGCTGTTACACACACAGCCTCACCTGGCTCAGGGTCTCCGCCACTCAGCCAAGGAGGAGCCTCAGCCGGGAAACGCAGAGAGCTGCCGGCAACACCATAAAAAAGGACTCGGTGAAACCCGGCGCACATGCTCTTTACAGCTCATTCTCTTTAAACAACAACTTAGCAAAAGTCCCAGGAAGGCCCAGCGCCCCCAGGCGCGGCTGCACTCCGCCCCTGCCCAGCTCCAACGTCCTCAGAGGGAAAACCCGTGCGGAAACTCAGTGAACAGACAGAAGTCCATTTTAAAGAATCTGAATCGAACTGCTGTCACTTGTGACACCCTACTAAAAATTCTCATTTTAAAAGTCTTGATGATACTAGCTTGATACATTCCTGGAGAAAAAAAAAAATCTAAGATAATATTATTAGTAAATCAATGCTATTAAAAGTATATATTACTTCAAGAATGTCACTTAACACTCCGTAGGCTTCCTTCTCTTTCTTCCACTGACCACTCCACAGGAAGTCCTCCCTTCACGCCAACAGGCTCGGCGATGTCCCGAGAAAGGGCGCGTGGGAACCCAGCTTCCCAGAGGCCAACAGAGAGGAACAAGGTGGAGTTCCCACTGGCCTCTCCTCACATCCTAACGAAACACTGTACCTCTGGTCACCTTGATCTGGTTGGTTTGGGGTGAATCAGAATTCGAATTTCACCACTATGGGGCGTAACAACCTTGTTTCCACGCGTCAGAATAATCTACAACGAGCCAGCCGCGACTCAGCGCAAAGCAAGTATTTCAGATGTTGCCGCTCTTAACTTCAAAGGGCAGACAGGCACAGAGATGAGATGAGGCAAGCTCCCCTCAGAGCTGCCTGTGCCCGGGGTCTGCGATGCTGCCTGACCCACGCTCGGCGCATCGCCTTTTCTGAAAGCCGCCTAACCTGCTTCCCTGCGTTGATGCGCGCAGACCCGTTAGCGCCAAAAGGCAACTTTGGTTCTGGACCCGGCTCTTCTGCGAGCCCACAGAGTCCCAGGGAAGTTACACGGCGGCCCAACCACCATGTATTTGATCTCCAATGATTGCCGTGGTTTTTCCTTTCCTCTTTGGTTACCCAGAGCCATGTTAAACTGAAGGCACCGAATGCATAAATACTCGGTGCTGAGTCTCCAAAAGATGCAAATTCCCCCTACACCAGTGGTCGGCAAACCGCGGCTCGCGAGCCACACGCGGCCCTTTGTCCCCTTGAGTGCGGCTCTTCCACAAAATACCACGTGTGCGGGCGCGCACGAACAGTGCGATGGAAACCGCGTGGCCCGTACACAGCAGTCGGGTTTCGGCCTGGGCGAGTCTATTCTGAAGAAGTGGTTCCATCGCCGAGCCACACTCAAGGGGCCAAAGAGCCGCGTGTAGCTCCCGAGCCGCGGTTTGCCAACCACTGCCCTACACCAAAAAGTCCACTGGGAATGTTCTCTAAACAGACATATGCCTCGAGTGCAGTCTTAAGATACACTGAGCGTATGCTTACAGGCAGGTGCCAGGCTAGGTAACCCCCTATCTTTTTAGGTCTCCCAGGATGCCTTCCTTACGTTGATCAAGTTCTTTGCAATAAAGAAGTTACTCTTTCATTTGAGCCTTTGAACAGTTCCCGGGCGGTAGCTGGCAATACCACCACCACCCTCAAGTTCCATCTGAGCAAACAGAGCGGCTAGGAGAACTGGAGACTCGCTTGGGATTGGCCCAGACGTAGAGGATCAAGGATGCAGCCCGTATGTGAGGCCAAATCCTTAGCCCTTCCCCCTGTGCCCCAGGCCTCAGATGCTCAGAGATTTCCTGTAGTCGGCCAGCCTGTGCTTCTGGGGTTATCCTGTCGGGTACAAGGAAAGGAAAGGAACTACTCTTGCTTTCCTCAGCAGAGCGTGAGGCCTGCGGCCCCGCCTGCCGCCGGAGCTGCGAGGCTGATGCATACCTGAAACTCTTTCTTGCTCCAAGAGCTTAGTGTAAAGATTGAATATCTGTTCCTGGACTTTGCACACAGATCGCTTAATCTTTTCCCTGCGGGTCACCATGTAAGTGAGGTTCCGAACCTAGAATGTAGAGAATAAAGATTCTAAGTAAGCAATGCATTGTAACAGTACTTTGGTGGATGTTCTGTTTTTGGTTTTGTTTTGTTTTTTTACCTGAGGAGAAAATTGTCCTACTAGGGCCTTGAGTGACATCTGAAATCAAAATGTACTTTGAATGCGTTATCCAGTCTCTTATCTCGTTGGGGCTGCTAACAAGGCTTCCACATACACCCCTCCACACAGGATGAGATGGGGGAGGAGCTCCTACCGATCGCCCCAAAGTCCCGCCGCCTCCACCACACCCAGCCTTAGACTCATCGCTACGCGACCCCCAAGGACCTGCCCCAGCACCTGCAGGCGAAAGGCTTTAGAGAGCTCAGAAGCCCCTGCGCTGCACTCTACCCAGCACCTTCTGAAGGGGAAGTGAGGTCAACACAGGGTCAAGGGCAATCAGAAGCAAAGCCCATCCCCTGCACAAGGCTCACTAGGTGAATGCCTCAGTCAGCTGGCACTGAACCACAGTTCCACTGTGCCTGACGGTCCACCCCTGGGGGTCACGTGCACACACTCGAAACTAACCAACACAGACTCAGTCCTAAGCCACCTGGGATCAGTCAACACAGAAACAGAACTTAAAAGATTCGTCAATAAAACCCCTTCAATCCTTCAGTCCTAAGACCTATTGGTAAACCTAACCAGACTCCAGGGGCCTGAATGCACAGATCTCAAAACCCAGCAGAGGAGATGCTATTATAGTACAGGGTCCAGCCTCCTGCAGGACGTGGACAAGATGTCTCCAATCCTCCCTGGCAGCGGTGAGCAGTGACTCCTATTCCCCATCAGCTCCCAACTCCCCTCAAAACCTTATGCTTGGCAATCCCTTCCCCCGCCGCCTGCCTTGAAACAGAAGAGGCCAAAAGTCCTCGCCCTTGTGGTTCGCAGTGAGGATGGGGACCAGCCATGCACACAGGACTGCACTGGCTCCTGCAGACACCGCCCCTGTGTCTTCAGTCCATCCCGAGCCCCGTTGGGTTCCAAGTGAGAGGACATGAGACTCTCAGAGGGGCAGCTCTCTGGCTCCTACGTTTACATCCACGTGTAACGTATTTAGCATCTTCCTAACACTTCCCTTCACTGAAAAAGAATATAAATCTTAACATTAAGGACCTGAGAAGACAGTCTCGTTCCCTGAGTAAATATTTTGGTTCCTCTCTCTTCATCTCACAGCCTCAGACCCCAGGCCAGGAAGTAGGTGTCCTTTATAAAACTCTGACCCACTGGGGACAGAGGTGGCGACCAGGCTATTCTCGTTCATGAGCAATCTTCCACCCAGGGGAGATTAGAGAGGAAGCTCAAAGAGGAAGAGGCAAGACCTAGACAGAGGTCACAGATTCAAAACCCTTTGCAAAACAAGCAGGAGGAATCTGGCCTCCGGAAGTGGGAATTACTTCTGGCTCTGGGAACAGAGAGGCGGCCCTTCTGTTCCAGCTGGATGCACGGCAGAGACACATCTCTTTCTTAAAATTACCCACAGAAACAGAGGCCTGGGGAGCCAGAGACCGGGACATTGGGTATTTATTCAAATTTAATTTCAGGGGCTTCAGCCACTCCCCGGGGAAGCCTCCATCCGGCTGCTAGTTGGGAACTCCCCGTCTCTTCCCCACAACCTCTGATGAGAAACATCCAACCGTAACCCCAAGAGCCAAAGGCCCAGGTTCACTGTCAGTTGGGATGAATCGGCCGCTGAAGGCCAGGCTATTTAGAATAGCGAGCAGCCTAAACGGTACCCCCTGGTGCACACACACACTCCTCACAGGACGGGTGCACCAGCAGCCCCGGTGTGTAGAGCTGAGCGGAGGCTCTGCCCTGAAAGCAGACCCTGCCTGGCCCTTCCTGCACACTCCCCACAAACAGGCCTGCAGGGAGGTACCCCGAAACACCGGCTCACGGTACACCCTCACACCACGTGACACCTGAGTGAGGTTTTCATCAAATGCAGTGTTTGCAGGCCCCAGCAGGGTAGCTCAGTTGGTTAGAGAGCACCACCCTGGTTCGCCAAGGTTGCAGGTTCAATCCCGTCAGGGCACTGAAGAATCAACTAATAAATGCATGAAAAGGTGGGACAAATCGATACTTTTCTCTCTCTCTAAAATCAATGTATATATGTGTATGTTTCCCTAGACAGAATGCTGCCCCCTCACCCCAGAATTCTGGAGTCAGAAGTGGGGTCCAAAAACTGGCCTTTCAGGTTTCCAGGTAATGCTGCTGGCTGGGGGCCATCCTGAGAACCACTGCCCTCAGGAACCCGAGTGCTCTCAGGGTTTTCTTGAATCCCAGGCACTGCTTGCCACACCAAAGCCGAACATGCCTTTTGTTCAGGGATAATGGCAGCTCCAGTTTCACAGGTGGCCGTGCCACTGGGCATTGAGTGGACAGGCCCCAGGACCAGCCTCTCCTGACACAGAGGCAGCGTGTCTGCCTGTCTCAGCAGGCACTCAGCTGCCTCTCGCAGCAAACCCCATTGAGGGGGAAGGATCCCTCGGGAGGGGCGGGGCCTGGGGGCCTTGCTGTCAGCAGCCGGCACTCATCAGCAATCACGTCTTCTTAAAGGTGTGGGTCCCCAGCCCCTCCTGAAAGCCATCCCTATCCTTTCTGGTCCGGGTACCAGGAGTGCAACGCCTCCAGCTGTCTTTGCAGGGAAGAGCAGTCGCCATTACCAGGTGTCAGCAGTTTGCATTTCTAATGAAGGCTGCTCAGGGGTCAGTGTGGGACGAACCCCGATTCTCCCGGGTGGCACCTGATCCTGTGTGCCTGCTATGATGTTCTGCTGTGTGAAGTAGGCAGAACAAAGAGAGCGTACGTTATGATTTGTTCGGATGAGCCTCTGGCCTGATATACTTCTTGTTTATGATTGCAAAGAGCCCTGGACTCTCTGGGGCATGACAAAGGTTCCATCTTCTAAAGCCCCACCATCACAGGCCTCATGGCACATTGCGGAAAATGTATTTTTCATTACAATAAGCCCGTTTTAAACTGACACTAAATACCCTAAAATCTGTTAGGCTCTTTATTAAAGTAAATGTAAGTAATGCCACACACACACACACAGAAATCCTGATTTATTCCCTGTTTCTCATACATAATTGGCATCATTCTACTTAAAAAGCAACAGTGATGACTCCAAAAAGATGTTTAGAATTTAATTATAAGTCCGTGTTAATCTGAGTAACTTAAGCACAGAAAAGAGTTAGTACACCACAAACATTTTCTACACTTTTATTTTGTGGTGATTGAGAGACAAACACAGTCCAAACATCAGACTTCTCGTCCTCCCTCCTGAGGACTATCTGACTCCGGGCTCACGCACCCAGGACAGCGGCCGTCACGTACTGGCTCCTCGCCAGGGTTCCAGCTTATCCCTCAAAATACCCTTTCTCAAATTAACAAAAAACGCCACACATCCATGTGGTTGGAGGTGAGGTCTTCTGCACACTCACCACCAGGGGGCGTGTGGGAGCACGAGAGCCTCAGCCCTCCCCCCTCCCTGCTGGCCTCACCTGACCCCAATCCTAACCTGCTCCAGGAAGGAGTGTCACCAGCTGGCCTTGGGTCGTGTGTAGACCAGGCCTCCAATGACCACTTAAAAACACCTGCACACCAATGCCACCTCTCCGGGGGCCAGGCAGGTCCCTCTGGGAGATCTGCATCTTTTGGTTCATTCATCCATTCGCCCTATGCTTGGCCTACACTCTCACTTCCCATAGTCTCTGAGGCAGAGGCTCCCAGGCAGGTGAATCACTTCCTGCTGGGGGCTCAGGGAGGTGCGTTAACTGTTTCAGACCTGGCTGTGGTGCAGGCTGCTTCAGGCCAGAAGCAGAGTCCAGCTGTGCGCTAATGCATTTAATCAGTCGGGAGCTGCCACAAAAGGTGCTCTAAGATGCATCTCCAATTAGCAAGCCTCAGTCAGAAGCTACCTACTGGGAGCAGGAGGCCCTGGGGGGAGACAGCCCTCCTAATTATACCTGTGCAGGAGGGAAGCCCACCTGGGACTCCCCGGTAACGGTAAGGATGGAGGCACAAAGCAGCAACAGCTGAAGGAAGCGGCCATGGTCCCAGGCAGCCCACAGCCGCCTCACCAGCAATGTGCAGCGATACTGTGCGTGCTGAGCGGGACGGGACCCCCACAACCACACAGGACACACCACAGACACACGTGACACGGACACACACATGCACACGTGATATATACACACAGCCTCGGGGATGACGTAGCACCTCACTGCCAGGAGGACCTGTGGCAGACGCGCGTGTGTAAGTGTTCGTACCCGCGCCAGCACCCACAACCTGCCCTGCCCCTCAGCACAGGGCGCCCACGAGCCAGCCAGGAATGGGGTGCAGAGACAGTGCCCCCCACGCCTCTCAGAGCCACGTGACCAGCACCCGGTGTGCCTCAGGCTGAACGAGAGATCTTACCCCCCTGCCTGCACCACTGTTCGGCAAGTCTAACTGGTGTCCTAACTGTTTGCAAACTATTCTGGGCCACTCCCTTGGTCGTTTCCCTGGGGCTCAGATGACTCTAGCTCTAGAATGGAGAGGACACACACCCCATTGGATCTTGCAGAAGAACAATACTGGGATTAACGGGGAAATATTTAAAAGGAGGTCACAGAGAAGCCCCCCGTGTGAGCTTCCCAGCCCGGGGACACTACACGGACACACCCCCATGCTGCAGTGTGTACAGGGTCTGAGCGAGCGACCGGCCGCCACGCTGGCTCTGCGCAAGCGCGGCCTCTGAGCAGTCCTCTTGGCTAAGTCACTACAAGGTGTCAGTGTCAATCATTACCCTCTCCAGGTCCTGCCGCAGGTGCGTGAACAGCTGCAGCCGCCTAAACAAGACATCCTGCTCCCGCTTGGCCAGATTGTCCTCCTCGTCTCTCTTTGGGGTGATGAGCGGCTTGTTGAAGTTGACCTTCCTCTTCAGCTTCCAGTACTGGTACAGGAAGTCCACCACCTCCTCGGGCAGCCGCAGGGCCCTGGCCACGTCCAGCAGGTTGACGAAGGTGTAGAAGGCGTCCTCCAGCTGCTGCAGCTTCTGCTTCCGGACGCTCACGCGGTGGGCCTCCTCCTGCTTCTGCTCCAGGCTGGCGAAGGGCTCCAGCGGGCTCCGGGGGGAGCGCTCGGGGCCCCCGTTCTCCTGGGCGGCCCCCGCCGCGAGGCTCCCCTCGGCTTTCCTGTGGGAGCTGTGCTTCGGGCAGTAGGACTTGAACTTGACCTCATCGTTCTCCGCCAGGATGGTCTTCATCTCCAGGCCCCGGTCGAAAGCGCAGGTCACGTGGAAGGCCGTGCGGCAGTTCTTCACGGAGCACTGGCGAGGAAAGGAGGGGGACGGTTAGGCGGGCCCGTGGCGGACGCCCCTCGGTGCCGGGCCCCCGCGCCCGGCAGAGCTGCGCCCGGCGTGGCCATGACAAAGCCCCGGCGTTCCCGGCACACTAACCCCGGAGTGTGTTAAACAAGGGCAGGCCGGGGCGTTCAGGAAACTTCAAAGGGAAGGTTTCATGGACCAACCCTGCCTCTCGGACGAGCCCGTGGGCCAGGGCCCGGGGCAGACCGCCTGCACGGGGCCGGGTGGCCCGAGCGGGGCTGGCGCTCACGCTCCACGCCAGAGAACGTGTGCCCAGCTGGCAGGGTGCACGCAGAAGCACCGCTGTGCTTTCTCTTTGGGCCTGAGCTCTCTCGTGTTTGTGTAAAAGGCCGGACGACAGGAATCTCCCCGGGAGGAGTGACAACTAGTCGGAGGTTTTCCGGGAACCTGAATGCTCGCACTCACCCGGGGCCCAGCACAAGCGGGACACTGCCTCCCAGCCCGCCACTCCTGATGAGGCAGGCGAACACAAACTCCCACAGAGAAAGGAGAGCGGGAGGCAAGGAAAGCCCAGCCCAGGGAGGTCGGGACGAGTGTCCACACCCGTTGGGACCCCCGCCCGATGCTCCCGGGCAGTGGGAGCGGCACTAGACCACACGTCCTGCCTGGCGGTGCTGGCTGCTCCCAGCGGCCCCCGGGACTGGCTGTGGTGGCAGAGAACCGCCAGGGGCCTGACCCCCGGGTCAGGAGGTCGCCTGGAGGACAGGCGTCATGGCTGCGCCCCCTCCCGGGAGCCTCCCATTCACCCCAGCATCAGGGCTGCAATCTGCAGCTCAGAGGGCTGACGGCCTGGCAGGCGGTCTCCCGTCTGATGTCACCGGGTGAGGGACCAGGGAGGGCAGAGCATGGCGCTGGGGCTCTTCCCCCATCATTGCAGCGTGTAACAGGTCATGCTGTTACAGGTCAGCATGTAACTCACTGCCACTCGGGATTTCTCCCGTTGTTATACCCACAAGTTCGGAAAACCCAGCTCCCTCCGCCATTCCCTCCTTACCAACACTTAACAGCCAAATAAGAGAAATCTGTCTGTAACTTTACCTATAAACCACCTCAATCCCCGGGAACGTGTGAAATCGGCAGGCCGCCACCAGCAGAGCAGGGAGGAGGGCTCGCCAGGTTTGGGCCTGGGTCTGGCTCACACCGCACTTAGCCCGGGCGCCCGGCCGCGGAGGAAGGCGCTGCAGCGCAGGATTTACACAGGACTTTGTAAGGACGCCAAGCAGCCTTCCTTTGGGTTTTCCGATTCAGGTTGACTCAGCAAACAGATGTTACAGAACCATAAACCACAGCCCTCACAGCTGCAGACATTCCGGGGAGGAATTCTTTAATAACATCAGCCCACTCTGTGCAGATATGAGAAATCACCGGCCTTCCTTGGCCTCTTCTCTTCCAAATTAACGTTCTGGGAAAAGAGGTCAACGGCCACAAAATCATCTGATTATCTCTCTTCGAAAGAGAAACAGAGACCCCTACCTCCTGTGCGGACCAGGATGGGAGCTGGGGAGGGCACAGACCCGGCCTCACGGGGACTCACGGCAGGTAACTGGGAGGAAAGGATTTCCATCTTCTTGGGTTAAAGCTTGTTCCTGCAAGTTCTCTCTCTCTCTCTCTCTCTCTCTCTCTCTCTCTCTCTCTCTCTCACACACACACACACACAGAGACACACACACACACACACACACACACACACTAATGCGTTTTTTTTTAAACTCTAGGCTCTTTGCCATGTGTTAGTTTTAAGCAGATTCTATTCAAATACACAACTCTGCACTGCTTTCAAGGTCTGCAGACCGATCCCACTAGCTGTCTCATGCCTCACCCTCTGAATATTTGTTCCATTCTGGATTCTCAGACACCAGTATATAACGACAAATTTTTAAAACCACCAGTCAGTGGGTACCGTAACGAAAGAAATATTTATCAACCACATACAAATCGGTTTTGCCAAATGAGGTCATTTTCTTAAAACCCATGACTGGCAGCTGGACCGAGCTCCTGGAGTGTGTGCCTGCTCGGAGTGTGACGGGGACCGAGGGGGAGCCGAGGGGAAGCCCTGGCCCTGAGCTGGCCACAGGCGGCGTCTGCACACCTCGAGTGGAGATGCCAATAACCTAAGGCCCAGAAATTAACTTCGACTAGTTTCAGACAACATGAAAAAGGATAGCTGTATGTTCTCTCCTTAACTCTATCTACCTGTAGGTTTTCTACACTTGTCGGTGTGCGGACAAAGAAGCCAAGGTTTACATAAAAGCCACAGTGCGTGCTCACGGTGCCAGAGAACCAGGCAGCCAGGCTGCGTTCGGTGCAGCACCGCGTGGTGTCCCTCAGCCAGCTATGCCAGCTGCTGCCACGTCTCACCTGAGACATGACCTTGCACACCTGGGAAGCCAGCAGCCTCAGGGCAGCTGGAGGCGGGTCACCTGCTCAGCCCGCAAACAGGTAAGAGGGTGGCTAGCCCTTCAGGGCCAAGGCTGGCTCTTCCCCGGAGGCGGCTGCCAGGCTGGGAGCAGGGAGGGTGCCCGCAGACAAACTGACCGTCCTCCCTGCTCAGACAGAGCCCGAGTGGCCCTGTGCCGGCCTCGCTGGCATTCTGCTTACACAGAACACAATCTACCCACATCACAGGACCAGTCCAGGCTGGAGCCAGTCCTAGCCTCCCCATAAGAGCGGGAGACCCCCATCCTGCTTCCTGAATTCACCTGCAATTTCCAGAGTTCACAGACACCGCTCCCCCCCAAACTCCATCCTGCTTCCTGCAACACAGGGAAGGAGAAGAAGCCGCTGGGGCTAGGCCATACCTGTATGGAGGCCCCAAACTTCTCGTTGCAGAGGCTGCACACCAGCGCCCACCGACTGCTGGGGATGTGAGACACCTTGGTGATGGGCTCCATCTTCTCGGGGCTGCCGATGCTCACCTAGGGCCCGAGGAACAGCGAGAGTGCGCCGAGGCCGTCAGACAGGCCGAGGCTGGGTGCAGGTGGCAGAACCTGAGAGATGTGCTACCTCCCGTGCTCCACCCCCCTCCGCCAGACGGGGGCCGGGGCACTCGACCTCCATGAGGTGCACACCCCCGACTTGAACGCATCAGGACGGCTCAGGGGACAGTTCGGGGGCAGGAGAGCCCAGAGCCCAGAGTCCATTCCCTCCACCCTGAGCACCTGGGGGTCATGTGCCTCAGGAGCGCCTGTTCCCAGAACGCCCAGATAACCGGGGTGCCCGTCTCAGCGCCCCCCACAGCGGGGCCCATCTGACGTGGTCAGGGCTGGAGGTGGAGCACGTCTACACAGACGGACTTCAGCGTCTGTCTCACTAAAGAGAACCATCCTCTTGCGACTGGAAAGGTTGCTGCGCAGTGGAAAACTACCAAGTCACACAGGCTCCTTGGCATGGGGCCTGGGCGGCTGAACCGGGTCCCCGTTAATAGCAAACCACGCGGCCCGGCGCTGCCGGCACCCGAGGCATGAAGCCGCAGCCCCAGCCGTCCCCAGATAATCGTCCTCCGGAGGGAAATGCACCAGGAACCACACACCAAAAAACGCTGAAATTTGAATCGAAAATGATATTCTCCACAGTGAACCATGCAAATTAAATTAGTCAAGGTCTGGGACTGGAAATAAATTACACCAGACCTGAAATTAAAAAGGTTGAGGCTAAGGGAGAACTCCAATAAAAGTCACAGAAACAGGACCCAGAGCCGTGGCTCCTCACCGTGGTGCCGTCCCATGGACCGGCGCCAGGCGCAGTCCCGGGGAAGGGCTGGGCGCCCGGGCCACCGCCCACAAGCTGCAGGGCTGCCCCGGGGCCCTGGCCCAGTGGGAGGCCTAGCTGTGACGGACACCCGAACCGAAGCCTGACCACCGCCCCACGCACTGCTGCCTGGGTTAGTACGGCCACAGTGTGCACCCCCTGGCTAGCAGGAGGTGCGGGGAGATTCAGATAAAGGGGGAAACAAACGGGTGGCACTAAAAAGGTGTCCTTTTCCTCATCGGCTACCACGGGGCCTGTTTGTGACCGGCCCCCTCCTCCACCCCGGCTAAAAGGCAGAGCCCCCGTGAGACCACACTCACCTCGGGGATCCACAGGGCACAGCTGACATGGACCCACTTGGTCCCGCTGCGGGTGGGCTTCATGGCTCCGCCCTTCTTGGGGCACAGCAAGCACTTGGGCTGCACCCCCAGGGCACAGGTCCGGCACAGCCAGCTGCCCTCGGGCACCTTGAGGATTCCGTAGCAGGCCTGTGAGGCCAGCGCCCCCGGGGAAAGGAGAAGAGAGAGAGAAAAGGATTCATTTTTCTTTCCCATGATACCTGTTACTCTTACAACACCCAGAAGGTTTATATCAGGACAAGTGGCTAAACAGAAGCACTGCTCTGCCCACCACACAGGGTTCCTCTCCCTCCAGGTCAGAGCCAGGCGGCCTCACCCAGCAGCGGGGAGGGGTATGACGTCTGTGGGTGCAGTACGACGTGCTCACCGCCAGGTGACTGAACTCTCCCCGAGGACAGACGGGTCTGGGAAGAGTCTGCTCTGCTGTGTGGCCAGGCCGCCATGGGCCCCCCAGCTCTGAACCCTGACCCGCAGATCCTCAGGGCAGGGCTCGGGGTGAAACGGGGGAAGCTGCCCCCGGCCTCCTGGCGAGGGTGGGACTCAAAGTTAGAAAACAACACAGGGCACCCGGGAGCCGCCCGAAGCGATGAAACGCGCTGACCATGAAACACCAGCTAAGGAACGCTACCGGCTGATCCCAACACTCTCCCAAGTGGACCCGCGGGCCCCGAAAGGTGAGACTTTCTAGACCAAGAGGATCTGGTCTTTTTAACTGACACTTAGAGCAAAACCTGTTCTGCACAAGAAAGCCAACCGCAGAAATCAAGGCTTTTTACCAGCAAAGCCGCCAAGATGGCTCAAAGCTCGAAAAGGCAGAGTGTTAAACAAATGAGGAAACAAAACCATGATGGTAGCAGGTCCAGAGCCTTCTCAACACCACTGCCAGCCGCTGTCCTCAGATGACCCGGGAGTCAGGAAGTCGGGAGCCAGTCGCGGGCTCCAGCCCTCCAGACAGGAAAGCAGCCCAGTGCCGTCTGAGAGCGCAGGACGCAGAGAGGAAACCGCAGGGATGAGAGCGGGCGGAGGCAGCAGCCAGACTGAGCTCAGGGCGCGATGTCAGCGCCATGAATGAGCCACTGTCAACACAGACTGCCGGGAAACAACTTTAAATAGAGCGAAATGACACCAGTAAGGTTTCCAGCACCCAAAGGTTCCTATCAGGCATTCTAGAGGAAGTCACATTTGAAAAGATAACTTTTTTTTTTTTACTAGAAAAGCAAGTCTAAACAAAATTAAAAGATTAAATAAAATATGCCTTTAAGTCAAGCCCTGAAGAATGCTTCAAAGGAAAAATGAACCACAAGGAAAGCTAAGGAAAGACACAGCGTGGTGATGGCAGGAGGAACAAGACCAGGAGAGGGGGGTGGCTGGGGGCCCGGACACCCCAACTTCCAGCTCCAATGACCCTGAGCAACCCCCCTGATATCAGTCACTTATCTATGAAATGGGGTTTGAGAGCTTCCAAGCAGAACCCCTTTTTTTTTTCAAACAAACAGGGGCAAACTAAGTAAAATAGGAAAAAAGCCTGAAAAGTCATCCAGGTTAATAGCACCAGCAACAAAAACAACGATGGCAGTCACGGTGCTCCCGGTCTTGTCACAAGGAGACCCTACAAGGAGTCCCGGTCTCCCCAGGAAGTTCCCCCAACGACGGGCAGCCCAGGGCTGCGGGCGGCTCCAGCGGCCGCAGGGAGAGACCGTGTCGCTCTCGGGAGGAGCGGGACAGGACACGGCAGGCCAGGCTACAGGCAGAGGGGAGGCCAAGAGGCAGCACATCGTTCAGAAAACAATGACCCAAGAAGTCCCAGAGCAAACCTGACTCTTCTACCAAGAAGTCGCCGAGCAATCTCCACCGTCTAAGTTGATGTCGGCATAAACAGGTGAATTCAAAGAAAGGACCTCAGCGTAGCCTTTTAAATCCTAACAGTGTATGTGAGTCCCCACAGAAATCCGAGTCACTGCGTGACTGCATTAAAAGTAAGTAAAAGGTGAGAAAGCCTGAGGTTGGCCCAGTGTCTACCCTTACGGACACCTCCAGATGACCTTTCATAGAAGGCAGCGAGCGACCACCAAACCCTCCCGGAACCCATCAGGGAGGACAGGAAATCAATGTCCAGGAAAGGGAACTCCTTCCTCTTCTTAACAGCTCAGTTTGCACACTAACACATCTGCAAGTGTTATGGGTTAAACCGTATCCCAAAAAGAGATGCCCAAGTCCTAACCCAGTGCCTCGGAAGGCAGCCTTATTTGGAAACAGGGGCATCGCAGATGTGGCCAGTTAAGACGAGGTCACGCTGGGGGAGGGTGGGCCTCGAATGCCACAGGACAGGTGGCCCTGTGAGAAGATGTCAGGTGCGCAGACACCCACAGGAAGACCCACCTGGCGAAGGCAGCGACACCTGTGCAGCTGCAGGTCCAGGAGCACCAATGATGGTCAGCAAACCACACAACACTGGGAGAGTGGGAGCGGGGGAAGGAGCCTCGGGTGATGGCCCTGCCCACACCTGGCTTTCAGACTTCTAGTCTCCAGCGCAGCAAGACAAGCTTCTGTACGTAAGCCACGCAGTTTGTAGCTCTTCGTTATGACAGTCTGGAGGAAACCGGTCCAGCTAACTACCCACCTTTTCAGTGTCCTTAATACCTGAACTCAGGTGCTGGCGCCGGGCAGAGGGGCACGTACATTCTTTCTAAGGGAACCTGACCTCCATGGGCAGGGCTAAGACCATGTAAAGGAGAGAGTCTCACAAAGGAGTCTACGCTTCCGGTTGTAAACGTGTAAGAGATACCTCAAACACGAAGGACGGGGCAGGAACAGCGAGATGCCGGGACTCCCTCGGGATAGCAGGCGAAGGGCCCCGTCAGGAGGGAGACCCAGCCCCTGTGGGCGCCGGGGGGCGGGTGGGCTCAGGCCTTGCCGCGCACACACCTGGTGCACGCAGATGTTGCATTTGTCACAGAACACCATCTCGTTGCCGTCCTCGCCGTCCGGCGACTGGCAGACGTCGCACACGACGTCCTCGTCGTACTCGATGCCCAGGCCCTCCTCCGTCTCGATGGCGTGGTTCATGTTGTCGGAGCAGCGCTGCTCAAACTCCTCCAGGACCCTCTCCATGGTGCCCTCGTCCAGCTCCGGCATGCCTGCGGGCAGAGCCGGCTCAGTAACCCCAGCCACCGGCATCACCCACCGGGCACCGTGTGTTTGCACGTGTGAGCAATGGGCAGTGAACACATAATGTGATAAGTAAATCCATCCTGAGCGCCCCGCACGTTTTCTCTATTGCGTGCCCTCAGACCCTTCCACGGGAGATGCTGTGTTGTAAGTAGAAAACACGAGATAAACCCCAAAAGGGATCGAGGCTGTTCAAGGCACTGTCGTTCAATAGTCATGTCATCGCAACGTTACACATCAACGACCCTGGGAGTGACTTAGAGACCCTGGCCTGTCCCTGTGCTGTGGGGTGTTTGTTTGAAAACTTTCCTTCCTTTACTACTTGTGACGGTGCCCTGACAGCAGGTTCCTCCGTGAGCACTGGATGCTCGTATCCGGTTCATCCCTCTGCACCCTCTGAACTGACTACACCGAGAGGCTCAGTGAATCAGACACACGAGCAGCCAAAACACAAGGACTGTGGGCAGCCCAGGAGACAGCTCGTTGTGAATCAAACTGCATTCTTAGGCAAGAAGGATCCAAAATACATCCCCAGTGGTTCTCGTGGTTATGGCCAGTGGTGGGATGAGCCTTCTATTTTCTTCCACGTGTGGATATAGTCCAAACTTCCTACCATGAAAATACTCACGTAGACAGGAAAAAATAGGCTGCAAATGCTATTCAGATAGAACACTGAAGCAGCAAGAAACAACAGAAATGTCATTAGAGCCAACCACAACTTCTGTGCACTATCGCAAGTTTAAAGCCATCAAATTAACACTTCTTGGGTTTTTATGAAAATCTGAGAACCACCATGATAGAGCTGATGGTGTGATAAGCCTTAAACGCTTATTCAAAAAACAAAAAGCACCTACCATCGCAAACCCTATTTAACTATGAGACAGTCTCTGCGCGGCCAGGCGCTCCCAGTATGCAGTTCTCAAAACACCACTGGTTTTGAAAATACAATCCGATGCCCTGTAATTAATTCTCACCATTAAAAAGACTATTAAAAACATGTGTTCAGTAGCTGCCTATGGACTGGGCACTTCCCTCCGACTGAGGAGTCAGCCTCAAAGGCACCAGTGGCTCTGGCTGTACCGGCCTAACACAGGCCACCTGGTCAGTCAGGGGAACCTGGTCTCTACAAAACTGCTGTGAAGCAGGCGGTGGATGGAAGAAGCTGAAACAGATTCACCCCTGAGAGCTCTGAGAAGACTCCCGGTGTTTTGCACCGAGCTCAGACTAGACTTCACCGTCTTGCTCATCAGGACACCTCGAGAGACAGACCCTCAGCAATCAGGAGTGCGGAGGGCAAACCACAGGCCACCCGGTCTCCACCTGGACCTGGAGATGCAGTGAGTGTGGCGCAGAAGCTCTGCTCTCACACAGCAAACGAGCAAACTCCAGGAAGAGCCGGCTGGGCGGACCTGGGCTTGGGAAGGGGAGGGGCGGGGCAGGGCTCCGGAGAGGACAGATCCCTGAGGAAAGAGGCAGGCGCTCCAGCTCAGGCGCAGGACCTGGTGAGGAGGCATCACTGCGCTGCGGGGGTCTGAAAGGGAGCCGGGCTGGGGGGCTGGAGTGGACTCGGCGCCGGGGCAGATGCAGCACTGGGAAAGGAGTGCCGGCCCTCTGTGGTCCAGGGACCGTCACTTTGTTTCTCAGGCTTCCGTGCCCATGGGGTAAAGAAGATCAGGGCAGGGAAGGTCCCTCACTGGCCCGGTCCCGGAGTCCATCTCAGCGGACAGCGCTCGTTACAGACAGCAGCACGGGCCTCACCCATCTCCTTGAACTCCTCGTTGGTCAGCTCCAGCCACGCCGCGTCCATGTCGTTGAGGTCGTACCGACACACACCATCGGCCAGCGCACGGATGTCCACGTAGCCCAGCTCCGGGGGCTCGGAGCCCGAGGAGACGATGTATTTCTTGGGCCTGATGAACATGAGGGACTTCTCTTCCGACACGACCCTAGTGAACAGCAAACACAAGGCAGACGGGTCATCCTTCCTGCCGCAGCCAGCCAGGCTGTGCCAAGGCCCCAGGGGAGATTCTCCCTCCCCACCCCCAACCCAGGCCATCGCCGGACTAACAGGCTTAAAGGCCTAGCGTTGTCACTGCCAGTAAAACTAAGGAGCCCTAACGCACCCAAAGGGAAAGACATCCAGGTGCAAACCCTGCAGAAGTCTTCAAAGCCTGCTCCTCCCACTCAGCTTCCCCGACACCCTGTCCCTACCCCACCCCACCCCCCACAGCGGCAGGTGTTGTGGCTGCTTAGGCGCCCAGCGTTGCCCATTCAATCCCTTTCCTGCAACCAGAACCACCCATCCTGCTGGGCGCCAGGCACTGGGTTCTCGAGAACATGGAGGAGCAAGAGCAGCCGCCGCTGATGCTGGGAACCAAGGGAAGCCTCTGTCTGACCTCAGCCATCCCTCAGCGGCCCCAGAACCAGAGTGAGCCCGGCCCGGGACTCTCCCAACATCCCAGGACAAGAACCCGCGTTCCCTCTCCTCCTCACCCTCCCCTCTGCCCCCACCTAGCCCCTGAAGCAGTCTCATCCACCATGCCCCCCGCCCCCGGCCCGGATGGCATGAGAGATTGCAGACCCCCGCTGGGAGCCCGCACAGCCCTCCACATCTCTGTTCAGCAGTTGGCAAGTTGTCCGAAGACTGTGTCATGGTTTTCGTCATCACCTTTGTCATTACTAAAGTGATTTCATCTACAGGACACGGAGGTGGGCTAACTAGACAGTTGTTTCTCCTACTCAACCAAGAGCAGGCTTTTATTCATTAAAAAGGTCCATTGGCTATATAGTAACCGTTATGCTGGGCTCCCAAATGTCATGAGCAAATCGGTGGAAAGTTCCTCGCTTGGGGGCTGCCAGGCTGGTGTGGTGCCCCAGGCGTGCACATTGGCAAACACAGTGCTCCCTGCGAGAGCCCCGGGACGGCCCGCCCACAGGCCAGGAGCCCGCCTATGGAGCCGCCAGGCCCATCTCTACACCTGCAGACCTAGGCGGACATTTGTCGCAGAGATCCCGAAGAGCAGGGATCAAACTCGGTCACTGCCAGTGCCTGGAGAGACACCGGGTGGCTAAGGTGAGGTGAGGTGAGGGTGAGGGTGAGGGTGAGGTGAGGTGAGGGTGAGGGTGAGGGTGAGGGTGAGGTGAGGGTGAGGGTGAGGGTGAGGGTGAGGGTGAGGGTGAGGGTGAGGTGAGGGTGAGGGTGAGGGTGAGGGTGAGGGTGAGGGTGAGGGTGAGGGTGAGGTGAGGGTGAGGGTGAGGGTGAGGGTGAGGGTGAGGTGAGGGTGAGGTGAGGGTGAGGGTGAGGATGAGGGTGAGGTGAGGGTGAGGGTGAGGTGAGGGTGAGGGTGAGGGTGAGGGTAGGGTGAGGGTGAGGTGAGGGTGAGGGTGAGGTGAGGGTGAGGGTGAGGTGAGGGTGAGGGTGAGGGTGAGGGTGAGGGTGAGGTGAGGGTGAGGGTGAGGGTGAGGTGAGGGTGAGGGTGAGGGTGAGGGTGAGGTGAGGGTGAGGGTGAGGGTGAGGGTGAGGGTGAGGTGAGGGTGAGGGTGAGGTGAGGGTGAGGGTGAGGGTGAGGGTGAGGGTGAGGTGAGGGTGAGGGTGAGGGTGAGGGTGAGGGTGAGGGTGAGGGTGAGGGTGAGGGTGAGGGTGAGGGTGAGGGTGAGGTGAGGGTGAGGGTGAGGTGAGGGTGAGGTGAGGGTGAGGTGAGGGTGAGGGTGAGGGTGAGGGTGAGGGTGAGGTGAGGGTGAGGGTGAGGGTGAGGTGAGGGTGAGGGTGAGGCGAGCTCCCATGGTGAGGATGCAGAGCCCAGGTTGCCCCCTCCTCTCCCCACCAGCAGCCCAGGGTCGGGGGAGCTGATGAGAGGACAAGCACAAACTGGCTGCAGCTTCTAGTGAAGCTGAGTCACTGAGGAACCTCAGGGGAGAGTGGTTTGTGAGTCAATGGAGACAAAGTCCCACAAGAACTGGGCAAAGTCACCTAATCCATTCTTCTCCCCAAACTCCCCTCCACACCCCTGACCTGGCTGCCCCACACCTGTCCCTCCTCCAAAGGGGGAGTGGCCACCATGGGACCCAGGAAGCCCCCTTTGCAGCGTGAATGTGACCAGGGGTGGAGATGCAAGCTCAGGAAGAGGGACAGCCAGGGGTGCAAACATCCGAACCCCAGCCAGGCCTCCAAGTCACTGTCCTGCGGGCCCCCGTGACCTCAGTGCTGAGGACCCGCCGCTGTCTCTGCACCGGGCTGAGGGGCACACAGGCCCCGCGGGAGAGGCAGAGCCGTCCTCCTCGGGGCGCGTCTACCTGGCCACGGGCTGCGGGATGGTCCCAGGGCTGACTGGCACCTGGACCCCCTTCTCCCACTCCTGTCTCCAGGGGTCTGCCAGCACGTAGTACTCGTCGGGGTTCAGCTGGTAGGAGTCGTGCAGCTTCATGGCGGTGATCAGGTCTGTCCTAAACACCTGGAGAGGGAGAGACGGGGTCACGGACACTTGATATTTGCTTTCCTACTCAGAGCACTGGCAGCTGCAGGGTAACCATGGAGCTGCCCTGGAACAAGGTCACTGGATCAACAGAGAACCAGTCTGGCCTGTGACAGGAAGCCCTGAGCCTGCCGCACCCTGGCCTCGGGCTCGGTGGCTCCACGTCCACGCGGCAGCTGCTGGAACAGCATCATCCAAGCAGCTTCCCCGCACTCTCAGCCCACGGAGCGGAGCGCTGGGGAAGCCGTGGGCGGGGTCCCGCAGGGAGGCGTGCTCTTGGTGGTGTTTAAGAACCACAGCTCCACTGACCGTGTGGCAACTTCAAACCCAAACCTGGAACCCGGAACCACCAGGGCCTCCCCTTCTGCACTCAGCCTCGCCTGCCCCACCGCAGGCCCCAGGGCATATGGCGGGGCGTCTGGGAGGTCCGGGCCCAGCTGGCCTGTGCCAGGCGCAGAGGAGCCTGGGACAGAAGCAGTGACAGGCCTGGGAGCCAGGTCCGAGAAAGGGCCTCGCAGCACGTGCACAAGTGCACACCTTTCCCGGCACAACTGCTGTTTGTGCCGAGTGGGGAGGAGGCAGGAGAGGGAGAGAGGGGAAGAAGACAAGCAAAGCCCTGCCCTCTCCTCTCCCTGCCAGAAACAGAGCCACAGAGTCTCCAAAGGACCCTCAGCCAAGACGGCTCCTCCAGCCTGTGTCGGCCCCGAGGGGACACACAAAGGCGTCCTGCCTCGGGGCCGGAGCCGGCCCCGTCTCCTCGTCCACGCCCGTCTCTGGGCGACAGCGCTGACCCTGGCACCAGCGCCGCCCTTGGCAGGAGCGGGCCTGCATCTGTAGGCCACGCTCTCTGTTTACACAAGTCACAATGCCGGGCGCGCTCCCCCTGAGGAGGACAGGGGGTTCTTTCTTGTGCTGCGGAGCGCGGCTCGCATTCTCTCCCTGCGAATAGGGCCGTGTTTGTTTTTCCTGGTGGCTTTTCAAGCTGGTGATGGCTTTAATACACTTCGCCCCAGCCGAGTCTGAGGCAGTGTCTGAGCTCTCCCCAGCACGCCACTCCCGCCCCAGGAACAGCGAGAACCCCGTGCAGGCCCCACAAAAGCACAGGAAGATCGACTTCCTTATAAGCACTGATCCCAAAGCAGGTGCCCCGCCAGGCCAGGGCCTCCCCGCCTCAAAGAAAAAGTCCTTTTAAACAAAGGGATAGGTCCACAGCTTCAGGAAGACAATCAGACTGAAAACACATTCCAACTGAGTCCTGTAAGTGGAAAAGTCAGGCGTGTTCCGAAGAAGGAGAATCAAACCGCAGTGAAAAAAAACGGCAGCCCACCACCCCCTTACTTAGACAGGATGGGGATGCTCAGAACCAAAGCAGGTGCCCCCGGATGGGCACCCAGGTCCCTGGCAGAAGTCAGCGTCAGTGCTTCAGGTATAAAGATGTCTGAACTCAGAGAAATCTTGGAAAAAATCTGGAACAAAACATGGATCAGGCACAAGGCAGAGTCCAGGTGCCCTGGCGGGGGGGGGGGGGGGGGCTGGTGTGTGTTCCCTAGCCCCCATTCCTGCCCTGAAATCACAGGAGTACAGAGGAGAGACAGCAGGGGAATTAAAAGAGGAGCAGCAGACCTGGCCACTCCAGAGCTACCAAAAGGGAAGCGGGCGGGCAGGCTCCGGGGGACAGCCTGAATGAGCCGGGGGGGGGGGGGGGGGGGGGGGGGGGGGGGGGTAAAACCTTCCCCAAGTTCAAGTGTCTCCTGGGGAGGTTCCTACAATTCCAAAGGATGAGCACTCCTTACTCCCTCTTAGAGAGGGAGTCCCTGCTACACTCACACAGCACCCGCACACCCCATTCAGCCAGAGAAGCAGGCGGGCTGCAGGTGAGGCTGTGGCCAGGCGTCCGTGAGGTCACCCCGCCAAGAGGCAGAACCAGACTCTCCCCCTTATGACCTGCTCGCGTGGACACTGGGATAAACTACGCCTTTTCTCCCAGGATGTCCGTGCTCGGGGGCCAGCAGAGGTTTTCAGAGGAAACCCTCAGGGCTGGTAGGAGCCCCCAGTCAACAAAAGCCGGCAGAGAGACGCCCCAAAAGACAATCTTAAATAGAATGACAGGTGACAGCGAGACAGATGACAAAATGGGGAGCAGGAGAGACGTTAAGATGAGAAACAAACTGGAAAAGAAGGGGAAAGCCTCAAGCATAAGCCCCAAAACAAAACTCCCAGAACTATACTGTTGTTGCCAAGTAAGCCACAGATCTACGGCTAAAACGAACTTGAGGCTGGCAGTGACTGGCAGCCGCTGAACTCGCTTATGTCCTGGCCAGAAGGAAAGTTGCTGGGAGCCAGCAAACAGGGAAGAGAAAGGAAAAGAAGAATATAATCAATGATAATAATAGCTAACAGTAACTGAGCACTTTTTATGTGCTTTGTATGTGTTGACCTCTGTGTAGTAACCCCTTAATCCTCACATAGGTAACCACCTATGTTGTCCCCATCTTACAGAGTTGGAAACTGAGGCACAGAAAGGGGACACAACTTGCCCAAGTTTCACAGACAGACACAGTATCAGCCTCAGGGTTGTATGTCATCACGTGTTCTCATGCACACGTGTCAGACATACACGTGACACGTGTCACGTGTCACGCCAGCATTCGGGAAATACCTCGGAAGGCTTCCGATCTTCATGTCTGGAGCAGGAACCTCTCCTGTGCTGGGACCGAGAATTCTGGGACCAAGTGGTGGACAGGCCTGAAGACACAAACATCCACAGAGGAACGATTAAAAGTGCAGAAATCACCGAGTGCTCAGTTTTATTTAACCAAACTCACCAGGCCCACCTGCACACCCGCCACGAGACAGCCATGACGCTGGGCCAGAGCGCTGGACACGCAGAGCCGCGCCACGCCCAGGGCTCATGCGCTCAGGCTCACCGGCGGGGCCCCGGCACAGCACACAGGAGGACACAGGCGCTGGGCCAGAAGCCTGCACGTTTGAAGTTAAGAGGCTCAGGGTCTCCTGATGCTAAATACCAACTGGGAAACTTCTTCCCGAGTTTTTAGGAAACGTTCTGTATGCGAAGACTAAGATCTTTATGCTAAACCCTAAGGCCAACCTCAAAACTTAAAGCAGGAAGCAGTGGTGATTCTCTCCTGGTGCCCCTCTCCGAGCCTCTCCGCTCCCCAGGCCCAGGCCCAGGCCCTCCCGGCTCGAGCTGATGGTCAGACCTGCACCTCACTCTCCTCCAGGTGCATGTTCACCTCGAATGAAGACATCACCTCAGAGCGCCCCAGAGCTGTCACCTCAGCGACACAAAACTGGGCCCAACCTTTGATCCACACCTGTCCTCCCCGTCCATTCTTAACCTTGTATCACATTTCTACTTGAACTCAGAAATCTAAGCCACCCGAGGCCCTCCTCACTCAGGACAGGTAGAATTCATGGCAAAGTTGTATTAACTCACTGCCCATTGCCTCGGACTCCCAGTCAGCCCCCAATCCCCGACTGCCCATAACGTGCTGTATAGACACTGGCTGCGGCCTCCTGTTTGTGGGTGCTCCACCTACAGTATGTCTCACCTCCACCCTGAACACATACCTACATTTCCCAGAAATTAACAGCCCCTCCCCTCCCCCCCGCCAAAAGCCCAAATCAGAGGGAACTGCCATTCTACTGTCACTCAAACTGGAAGCTCTTATCTCTACGGATCCCAGAGATAAAGGACAGAACCAAGTGCCCATTAGACCTTGGGGACACTAACAGATAAGAATCTGCACGTAAGCCTATCGTCGGATTTGCGATGACGGAGACTGAAGGGGATCCAACGCCAGGCTTCCCTCTGGCACCACCCACACTCATCAGTTCTGAGGCCTATAAATGGGGCAACTGTTAGGACAGCAGAATCAGACCTCCTACAGGTCGCCCCTGTAGCCACGCTCAGTAAAGCGTCTTGAAAATGCTTTTTTAAGAAATAGGGAACGTGAACTAGAATGTTTCACACGCACAGAGAAAGAAATATTCCGGGCCCCTGGGGTGAGCCCAACGTACAGAAGTTTCAAATCCTGTCATCACTGGAAAAAGCAAAGGCAGAAGTCAAGTTAGGAACCTGGAGAGGAGGGTGGGTGGCTCATGCCTTAGACAGGCCTGTCTCACCCTGGGGTCCTGAGGCCCCTCGGCCGGCTCAGGGCTAAAAGGAGACAGGGGACCAGCCAGCAACTCCAGGTAGTGCAGGGCATCTCAGGTCTCAGGAGGGAAAGAGCGGTTAGGGCAGGATCCTTTCCTCCCAGTTACTATGGAAGGGTTTATAATGAAAAGGAACAAACCCAGAAATTTAACAAGGACCATGCATCCCACTGCTATCCTGTAAACCTCACATGGGGTGGAGGGAGGCGAGTCCGTCCTTTCAGAGCTAAGCAGAAGCCACACTCCTGTCATTGGTGGGCTGGGGACCTTGTTGCCTTTTCTTGGGCATCTGTCAGCATCCCTCCAGCGTAGTTTCCAAGGTCCCCAGGAGCCTGCAGCCTTGCTGGCATGGAACAACCGAAGGAGTGACGGTCATACAGAAACTGCCGCTTCTCTATCCTTGAGCAGTGCGTGTCTGCACCACACTCACTTTGTAAAACAGAGAGCCGAAGGCGCTGCAGATCTGGCAGCTGACAGTAATACTGCCCGAGAGAAACACCGGTCCACCCAGAGCAGTCCATTCCTCTTCCTTTTAATGGACGTGATGCGCAAGACGGGAGAGAAGTAAAAGTTAATCCTGTTAAACCCACTTTATAGAAAGTGAGGCTGGGGGGGAGGGAGCTAAATTTCAATTATCACTGATGTGAAAAATGTCCTTAGCGTAATTATAAAGGCCAAAACCCAGAAACTTAATTATGGGCCAACAGACGACATGGATACACAACGGTGGTATATCCACAGTGGAACAGGACCCTGCACCAAGAAAGGAGCTTCCGAGGCAGGCCGTGTGGACAATGTTGGAATAACTACATGGAGAGAAGGAAACCAGACAGTCTGTAGCGTGTTACTCCACTTACAGAAAACTCTGGAAAATTACACTTCTCTCCATCGACAGAAAGTGGATCATCTGATGAGGGGAAAGGTGGAAGGGAAGAATGTCCTTGAGTTTTGAGGCTGTAAACATGTCAGAACTCATCAGCGTATCCACTTGTAAGGTGGGCAGGAGATAGCGGAGGGTTTCCTATCATCCACTAACAACAAGAAGGAGATGCTCGCTTCTACTTGGCACAGGCGGCTGCATACACCCGAGACTCTGCAGCCCACCAGTGGGGTGGGCCGGCGGGCCCCGTTGCTGGTGGTCTCTCCCTCCGGACCTCTGTGACACAGCAGATCCTCAGTAAGTGTGTTTAAAACTGGACAAGAACGTGGTGTCGTTGTTCAGGACTGTCTTACTCAGCGAGAGCCATCCCTGTCATTTCTGAACTGAAGGCACCGGCACCGAGAACACGCTTCCGTTTTGCCTATCAGAAGTTAGGTTTGAGCTCAAGGAAAATAAAGCAATGATACACGTAACGGCAGCCTGGTGGGGCCACTGCCTCTGGGTCAGAATGCAGCGACACCCACAGGTTCCCGGGGAGCCCACAGCGGAGACTCGAACAAGTGTCCGACATCCCTGCCCAGTCCTCCTCCCTCAGCCAGGCTCTCTCCGGATGGCTCTCGGATGGTCAAGAAGCTCCCAGAATATGATCCAAACAAAAATAATTTGCATCCCTTTGTAATTGGGGGGAAAAAACAAAACAAAACAAAACTAGATAATGCTGAATGGGAAAAATTGTGAAACCAGAAATGAGAGTATTTCAAACCCTGAAAGACCAAGGCTTATCTCAGCAAACACCTGCCACTGGCTAGTTCTCAGAAACGGTGGGTTGAGGCCACACTGGGTGGGGCCCCGTTCTGCTTTGCTCTGAGGGCTAACATTTAAAGGCAGACTGAATTTAAGAATGTGATGAGTAAGACTTTGTTTTAATTTCTTTCTGTTTTCAGGAGGAGCTGGGAACTCTCATCTGGTGATGATGTGATTATTTTATTGACCACACACAAGAGAGTACCCGAAGCTAAGTCCACACCGTGACAAATGTAAGCAATTTGAGAAATTCTTATGCTGTTAGCACATGTGTCAAACACAAGGCCCGCGGGCCAAATCCGTCCCGCCAGGCCTTGCAATGTGGCCCGCACCGCGCTGTCATCACTGCACTCTGCTGCGTTTCCATCACAATGACAGTTTATGACTGTTCAGTAAACCATTCGGCCCGCGATTTAGGCTGGATTTTAGATTTTGGCCCCTTCTCTGATTGAGTTCGACACCCCTATGTTAGAGTAACAATATTGTATATTAAATACCGTAAATGATATAAGTAAAAAATGTCTTGTTTTAATATCCCCACCTCCCATTAAAAAGTTACAAAGGCTCGCAGGTGGCAATACCGTGGGCACAGATCCTGTGGGCACCAGCTTTCTGATAGTGCAAGTGTGCTCCTTTGAAATATTAAAAATAGCCACACTGAGTTGCCCTAGATCTCAAATAAGGAAAAAAACCTCAAGAGTAAACCTAATATGTGCTGCACATGACTTTCGCACACAGCAGCTCATGTGTGGCGAGCCTCCCAGGTCGTGCATTGCATGGAAGGTTCAGAAATTATAGAATGAATGGTGGCCTGGGTGTTCACACCACAAAATGCAAATGACAGAAGAACCTCGCCTCGGACCCAGGGGTGCGTCTCCTTGTGTCTCGGACCCTGTGTCTCAGTCCCTGTGTCTCAGTCCGTGTGTCCGGCACTAGCAAACGAGATGCTGGTGTCTCCAATCCGTTAAGCCAGCTTAACAAGGTAAGTCGCTTAGGACTGGCAAGCATGAAGTCCAATGGCCGGCCAGCATCAGCGGACAGTGCAGACCCGAGAGGCCCCATGTGTCACTTCCAGGGAAGGCCAGCCTAGCCCTGTGCAAGTCAGTGAGAGCCATGGACATCCCTATCGGAACGTTAGCTGAGCTAATGCAGTCACTGGCTGTTCACTGTAACGGGACGACAGGAGGCAGCCTCGGATACAGCCGCTGTTTCTGTCAGGGGCTGACCGGATGCCTACCCCAGCTCTGCCTTCCCAGCACAGCTCAGCTCCATCCTCCAAGTCACTGCCACCTTCCAAAACAAGTAGCGTAACACGTACATTCAAAGAACTGGCCCAGGCACGTTCCGACATACTTAGCGCCCTGGGTTCTTCAACCAACCGGCACACACGACTGTCTCCCAGCCCCCAGCCCTCCCGCGGAGGTCCCAGCCCCAAGGCCACAGAGGTTAGTCCTTTCACAGGACCCTTTGTGCCAGTGGCTCCTTGAGCCCAAGCTATTACCCTTTTCATCAATGTCAAAGTCAAGCCACAGCCGGGACCGGTTTGGCTCCGTGGATAGAGCGTCAGCCTGTGGACTGAAAGGTCCCGGGTTCGATTCTGGTCAAGGGCATGTACCTTGGTTGCGGGCACATCCCCGGTAGGGGGTGTGTAAGAGGCAGCTGGCTGATCGATGATTCTCTCTCATCGATGTTTCTAACTCTCTATCCCTCTCTCTTCCTCTCTGTGAAAAATCAATAAAATATATATTTTAAAAAGAATTAAAAAAAAAAAAAGTCAAGCCACAAGTTGGGTTTGAAAAGGGGCAAAGCCACCTGTGGGCCTTGAGGAGACATGGGTACAAGTATACATTCTGCCTTACCTCAAGCCAAAATTCCCACATTTCCC